AAAAAAAAAAGGACGAAGTCTGCTTTTAAAATCGAGAAACTATGGGTCAGTTTTGCAGCTATCCATTGTCTGTGTCACATGTTGTGTAGACTGTACCGCTGCAGTTCGGACTGAAATTATTCATGAAGCAATTAGTCGCAGCGGTACAGCTTGAAGCAAATATAATTGGACAGCAATTATGGATCGGATTCTTCTTTGCTAGACCTTGCTGTAAGAGAGGTCTGGCTTGCACGGCTACAACATTCTGTCATTCCTCTCCAAATGTGAGCAGCAGCATCAGCTGTAGGATACCTTCACTGCACTACATTGATAGTGGGTGTGCCGAGAGAATAATACGTGCTACGCTGATGCCAATTATCTTTTCAGTAAGAAGTTTAAGAGAAAAAAAGATCCTAGAATAGACAATAAATAAAAAATGTACTCAAACAGACTTAGCTATATCATTACACTGACTATCAATGTAGTGCATGAGCACACGAAGCGCTCTGTTTCAATGGGCACAGCGCGCTGCTTACACATTCAGGGTTATGGTTCAAGTCTCATTAGTTCTGCCCGTTCGAATCGCGTGCACACATCCAAGTGCAAGTTGAACACGTTGCTCCACTTCCTAGAAAATGAGCTACAGTTAGGATAAAAATAAGAATCCATCCTAAGTATATTTTTTTTGCTGCTGAAAGCGCATGAAATGCTGAGTGACAGTCAAGTGGCATATAAATAAGCTGTCCAGTCGGAGTCGTTACTTAATGAAAGGTATGGCTACCGCTGCGGCTCTGTGGGAGTACGCTTTGCCTACACAGATTTTGACACTTGAATGGAGAAGTGACGCAACGTGTGGAAAGAGAAGCCGAGTGTCGGGCTGTGGCTGTGCGGTGGACGTGTCCGTCTGAGTGGAGCCACTGCAATATGTGCATGTGTCCAACTTCTAGCAACTACGTTTGCTTTTTGCTTTTAAATACAAATTCAGCTTGATTTATACACAGCCAATGCACAACAGCAGCTGCTTTAAGTGGCTTCACGTTGCAGGGTTAATAACAAGGAGTCGGCGACAGTGAGAAGGAAGAACTCCCTTTTAACAGGAAGAGACTTCGTGTTTAACTAAACTCAGGGAGGGGCAGCCACCTGCCACGAGCATACAAAGCGAGCATTTCACTTTGTACCCTGAAACTATTGTACTTACATTGTTAACAGATATA